CTGGGCTTTTTGGTCTCAAAAGGCAGCACATTAGCGAGCAGCTGCCGCTGATCAAACCGTGCAGAAAATCAAGCAGGTTAGACAGCTAACGCTGGCTGTAATTTCAGTTTATTTAGTTATTTTCGGCCCGGTGCACTTTTTTGTCCCTTTCAACAGCTGGTCTTTTTCCAGAAACGGGACTAGGTGGCTCATTTCCAGATGTTCTGTGCTTTGCATTTCCTCTCCACCGCTGGCTGCAGCCCTCCCCTCCGCGCGATGACCTCCTCCTGGGGCTCCCCTGCTGGCCCCGGGGGCCCAAGCTGGCCCCGCAAGGCTTACCGGCACCAAGCAGAGCTCTGGAGCGAGGGGCGAGCCGGGCAGGGAGGGATGGGGCGTCCGGTGGGGTGTGTGCAAGTTCTCTGGCAGGGTTGCATCAAGAGGCTTTGGTTTTTATTTAGTAATAGTTTTGTTATGACCAAATTTGTTTCAAATTTGATATCCCAGAAGGAGGAGCTGCCTTTGATTGCTTCAATTATTTACCTCTTTACATTTCTTCATAAGGAGAAAAACTTTGAGAATCAATAGGTGTGGCTTCGCTTGCACCGATTGCATTTTTTTGAGTTTTCCTGAGTTTAATAGTACAAAAAGTAATGAAGCCCCACATATCTCCAGCGTCTTGTCCAGCATGACAGTATCTGCAATGTGTCAGGTTTGCTGGGCCTCACTTGCTTTTGAAATTATTCCCATCTAACTCTGCCCTTCCAGCTTGTCATACACACGGAGCAGACTTCACAAAGTGTGAGCCAAAAGAGACTTTTTCTCACAAAGAGTTAAAAATTGCTTGAGACCATAAGGCCTGAGCCAGGGCTTGTAATGACAAGATCCCAACCTGGTGGCTTACTCCCCAAGGCCCTAAACTGTGTATGTTCAGTTATGGCATGGCCTAGTCACGGGGAGGATTTGGGGCTTGAGGTGAAGTGGGGAAGGAGGGTATCTCTGGGTGTTTTTTGAAGCAAATACAGCAAGTGAATAGATTTTTTTTTTACCAAATGACAGGTGTTAGGGTGCCCATGGGAGATGAGTTAGTTGGCTGGAATACTAGGTGCCCCCATGGCAGGAACTGCTATCCCATTTCACTCCTGGTGGCAGCCCAGCAGACAGAGGATGTATCAGGTTTCCTCTCCTCTCACCTCCAAGGAGGGGCATCTCTCCAACTCAGTCAGGGGTGTTGACAGGAGAGCGGATGGAAATTGGCATTGTTATGTATATGTTGCTGATAGAGGACTTTGGGTTTTGTTAGTATCAATCCCATATCAATCTCAAACATGAAACTTATTTAACAAGAAGAGCATCTGAAATGTAGGCTGTGGCTGAATTGGGATCTCTGCATAGTCCCTTGTTAAACTCCTTCTCTGTAAAATAGTCAGACTGTTCTTTCATGGTCGCTTATCATTTTAAAAAAGTTTCTAAGCACAGCCATGCGAGGATCCGTTTGAAGTGGAAGCCTGGATCCTGCCCATAAAATATATAGTGTGTGTCTTTATCTGAATTCTATGTAAATTTTCGTCCCGTCCCCCCCCTTCTTCACTCACAGAAGACAAACCTCCCACCAAAAGACAAAGGGTATTTTGCCTCAGGAAGAGCTGCAGGATCAGGTCTTTGAAGTTTCCTTCACGTAGGTCTGAAAAGCAGCTCTGACTACCTAAATACCATAATTCCAATACTGTTAATTGAGCCATGGTGCGTTTCACTCAAATGTAAAATTGCCTATTTACATGTATTTCACCTACTGAAGTTTTGTCCTCTATGGAATACATTTCCTGAATTTATACAAATTTAATTATTCTCTATCAAATTAAATTGCATATTCTACTTGTTAAGGGGTGAAATTTATGCCTGCTCATGCGTCTCCCTACTGTGATAAAATGCTTGCACCTAGTTCAATGTCTGCTAATGATAGGCCGTTTATAAATGAATTCAAATATACAAAGGATGACTTAGGCTTAGGGAAAATATGAAAAAGGTATTTACAGATAACATTGGTTTAAATATTTATGTGTATGCAGTTTTCGTTTGTTTGATGTTTATTCTACTTACATGCTTCAATTATGTTACGTATATTAATTTTGAGCTAAAATTCCTATTGACTTCAAATTTAGATGAGTGATTTAGA